TAGCAACCCTCATGGGGCTTACAAGGTAACTGAGACATTTAAGGAGTGTTTTTCCCAGTTCTACTCCCCCAGTCAGTTTCCATGGCCAAGTGGAGATTCAAACCCTCTTCTCCAGAGTTCGAGTCCCTCACTCTATCCACCGCACCACATTGGGAATCCACAATCTTTATGTGCCCATTTAGAAAAGATCGTGCAATTCGGTATGTTAGAAAGAAACACAGTGGCACTTAAGAAGATAGAAGCTTTATTTGCATGCGAGCCTTCGTCAGTTAAAATCCAGTTCTGTAGATATATGGGGTAGTTCTTTAATAGCCGACAAGTGAAGTGGAGGGGGGAACACATAAGCGTTCTTTCTGCACATCAGTGAGCGATATGTTTGTGCACCACTCCTCATACTGGTTGCAAGCTTGGTCACACAACCGGTGATGCAACAGGGAGCCTGGTGGAGCAGGGAGGAGACTTACGCAATTTCCTTTGCTGAGTCCCGCTTTCACCACCTGAGTTGTTGATGTTGTTGTTGTTGTTGTTTATATCCCGCCTATCTAGTCAATTAAGACCACTCTAGGCGGCTAGTTGTTAGTGCCATAGCCGTTCTGAAAATGTTCCCTTGCTAGGAGTTTAGAAGATAGTTCAGGAAACCCAGATAGTCTGCGCACACTTTTAAAATGTCTTTTGCAGGATTTACACGAGAGGCAAGACTCATGATGCCACCAGGATCCATCCTGCGTTGTTGCTTGCGTGCATGGTTGGTGGGGTAGAGGTTGTGGTTACTTTGGCATTTAGCCCCAACCATCACCTTTGGCGGGACGTGGTGGCACTGTGGGTTAAACCACAGAAGCCTCTGGGCTGCAAGGTCGGAAGTCTAGCCGTCGTAAGATTGAATCCAGGCGACGGAGGGAGCTCCCATCACTTGTCCCAGCTCCTACCAACCTAGCTGTTTGAAAGCATGTAAAAATGCGAGTCGATAAATAGGGACCACCTCGGTGGGAAGGTCACGGCCTTCCATGTCTAGTCGTGCTGGCCACGTGACCACGGAAACTGTCATCGGACAAACGCTGGTTCTACAGTTTGGAGACGGGGATGAGCACCACGCCCGAGAGTTGGACACGACTGGACTAAATGTCAAGGAGAACCTTTACCTTTTTATCACCTTTGGCATCAGGTACACACACCCCTTTCCACTAAAGGAAGACAACCCTCAACTGCAAGAAGGCCACCTACCTCTTGAAGTGAAGGAGTGTGTTGTGAAAAGCATGTTGGGAATCCCCTCCACTCCCAGGCAGCATTTGAAGTACAGTACAGTACTGGAAAACACAGATTATAGTGAATGCTATACGAACATGAATTTGACCCAACTCCGGGAGGCAGTGGAAGACAGGAGGGCCTGGCGTGCTCTGGTCCATGGGGTCATGAAGAGTCGGACACTTAACGACTAAACAACAAAAACATACATCGCATGGTCTCTAGCTCCCTTTAGTGGCCAGTTCTGGTAACGTCACCTTCATAAATCTGTATATTTCTAGGATTTTTCTTTAATAATTTTAATATTTTCAAATCATGGATAACTGAATAAGCGGATACTGATTCCACCAATAAGCAGGTCCTGCTGCACTTCAGATGGGCAAACCACCTTTTGCTTTTGGTCAATTAGGTTGTTTGAAACAGCATATTTTAGCCAAAAAAGTTTCCCCTTGTGTGTATGGCACGGGAAAATCTCTCTGTTTTGCTTTCCTCTGTGTTAAGCAACATTTTGTTCCATTCAGATCTAAACTGAACCATACTGATTCCACCAATAAGCAGGTCCTGCTGCACTTCAGATGGGCAAACCACCTTTTGCTTTTGGTCAATTAGGTTGTTTGAAACAGCATATTTTAGCCAAAAAAGTTTCCCCTTGTGTGTATGGCACGGGAAAATCTCTCTGTTTTGCTTTCCTCTGTGTTAAGCAACATTTTGTTCCATTCAGATCTAAACTGAACCGAACCTGACAAACTAGTCGTATGTTATCAAATAAGATTTTTAAAAGGTTGTCCAAGAACTTGAACCAATGACTTTATTAGTATGGGTGAACAGAGCATAAAACAAAGAAGGCCTACGATTAATCTCCAATTGAAGAAGGAAAGGCACTGCTCAGTGCTAGAACTCAGAAACGCCTGGATCAAATCCCAGCCACTTGAATTTTAAAAAAGAGAGTCTCAGATGATGTGCAGTGCAGAAAAAAAAGTGTTGTCAACTATCTTATAAAACGGTGACCTGCTATGTCCTTTGGATCACAGCTGTGGTCCTCCACACACACAAGATGAGATGTTTGGAAAACTCCGTGTAGGAATGCCATCTTCCAATTAATTCTCTTCCACTTCCCGACAAAAAGGTGCCAAGTACCGTGATGGTGCTACATAAATAATATTAATAACGACCCATTGTTAAACCTCCTACAAAGCCCACATCAAGTGTCCAGGGTGGCAGAGCGAAATCTGAAGAAGGCAAACTGTGATGACGCTTTCCGCCAGCTAACAGAACCTACCACCCCTTCTGGAAATGGCAGTCTAACCACTAGCCATGCTGGTCTGTTCTACCACAACAGAAACCAGGAGTCTTGTGGCACCCTTAGGCTACTTTTTAAATTTCATAAGCTTTTGTGCATCCAAAAAAAATTTTTTTTAAAGAGGAATGGAACAGCTGTGTCTCTGGGGGGAGGTCAAAACTGTTGGCAGTTAGAGGGAAAGGCAAGAATAGAGTGTTAGCTCTGGCCTGTTTGTTTCCTGTGTAAATACGTGGGCAGCTGGATTTGCCACAAGGTCAGCTTCATTTGGTTGTTGTGGGTTTTTCAGGCTCTTTGGCCGTGTTCTGAAGGTTCTTGCTAATGTTTCGCCAGTCTCTGTGGCCGGCATCTTCAGAGGACAGGAGTAGCACTCAGTTTCATTCAGGAGTAGCACTCAGTGTCTTTGGTGGGTACAGAGTCAGGCCCTAATCACCATAATTATGATGGAATTAATTCACCCAGGGCCAACATGCCCTATTATTGTCCCCATCCCATAGACACACATCTGCCCTGCCAACAGTTTTAAACTCCCCTCAGAGACACAGCCATTCTGTTCATTAGAAGAAGTGTGCTTGGACACATAAAAGCTTATGAAAAATAAAGACTAGTTAGTCTTAAAGGTGCTACAAGATTTCTAGTTTCTCTTGCACATTGAGAAGTACCGTATTTTTCGCTCCGTAAGACGCACCTTTCCATAAGACGCACCAAATTTTTAGGAGAAGAAAACAGGAAAATATAATCTGTTTTCTTCACTCCATAAGACGCACAGACTTTCCACCTCCCCCGTTTTGTGGGGGAAAAGCGCGTCTTATGGTGCGAAAAATACGGTACATAGTTATGGCAGCTACTGATTTTGCAATGCTTGTTCATGTTCTCTTTCTTCTCTCGGACTGGGCAGCAAAGACGTAGTTACCATAGCATGATGCTAGGAAAACATGGTGCGGAGCTATGGCAATTGCATAATTATGGGGGCGCAAAATGTGATTCAGGGCTGATGGAGATGGTGAACCTGCCCAAGGTTCTAGTTCTGACTTTAAAACAGCTGTCCAAAGTCCTGAACCTTTCTGTGGGCTTAGGTTCAGCATGTGGGAAGAATGCCTGTAAAGTTCAAACAAAAAGCCAGTGTGGACTCATTGTCTCCTGAAACCGGAGTCACTGCCCGCCCCTGATCTGAGCTGCATACGTACAACTGATCTCACATCAGGACAAAGGCCCTGGGTCCTCTCTTTAACACCTGGGTTTGATCAGAAGCAGCCTGAGAATCCCCCACATTTCATTTCAGCCAAAGAAGTACAACAGAATAATTTCTCTATGACAAACAAGAAGCAAGCAAGCAAACAAAAACACCGCCTGTCACTTGGCGTGGCCGAAATCTCAAATGAAAGCCAAACCAGACTATGCACATTTGCATCACCATCGGATGTCGTTTTTTAAGAATAAAATAAACAGTTGACCACCCCATTGTCCGTCAAAGTCTTGCCTTCACATCTCTCTTCTGGAGACTTGGTGCTGCTATTTTTTCCGCTTGCTGATGACCTTCGCCTTGGAGTCTCTCAAGGCCGATTTGATTTCTTGGACTATCATGTCTTGCCATGCCTGCCTGGAAATAAGAATCATCTTAGGACTGCAGAACTGGAAGGGACCCAACAGATCTGCTGCTGTCAAGGAGGCCCACCCGTGGGGGAATCGAACTCCCAACCTCTCCCTGAGCCATCGGAGAACAACTTTAAGGTTCGGGTAGACCGGGTGGATTTCACAGGGCTCCATGGAAACTCCGTCCATGGCCCACAAGGAAGCCCCTTGCCTTCATTTATCTATCATTTCCACTTCTATACTGCCCCATTAGTATTGTCTCTCTTTGGCTGGTCCACAGCATACAATACATTTTTACAATAAATGACAGAGCGTGATAAAAACAGTACAGTAGCTGGCTGGATAGCTCAGTGAGTTGAGTATCTGGCTTTGCAGGCAGAGGTTGGGAGTTCAATTCCCCGATGAGCCTCTTGAGAAAAGAACCAGCCTGGGTGGCCTTGGGCAAGCTGTCCAAAGGGGTTACTACCACCACCACCACTACCATCACCACTACTACTACTACGACTACTACTACTGGTGTTTTACACCACCACCACTGCTGCTGCTACTGTGCCTGGTGTTTTGTACTATGAAAGTAGTAGTATTTATTTATTTATTTATTTCATTTATATCCCGCCTATCAGATCAACGGACCACTCTAGGCGGCTTACAACAAGAGTAGTAGTGGTGGTGGTGGTGGTGGTGGTGGTAGTAGTGGCAGCAGCAGGAGTAAAAACACCAGGCACAGTCAATCAAAACTATAAACACACTGGTATTATATAACAGATACACATTTTTGACAACAAAAAGTATCTGTTCAATATTGGTGCAGGATGTATGGTGGTGGTGGTAGTAATAGTAGTAGTGGTGGTGGAGGAGGAGGAGTAACATATGGTTACACTAATTCTTATGGGATGAGTAGAAAAACCATGCCTGGAATAAACTATTTTAGCATGCAGGTGGTGGGTCACATGATGAACGCAATTCTACATAGGATAATTCCTAGCTGATCAGCAGGAATGGAAAGAAGGCTTGTTAAATTCCTTGTTTTCATCTAGGCTGACTTAGCATGATGATAGACATTTCCCTGTGAAATGGTAAAACCTTGTGAGATTCTTTGCCTCCAGACGAGAGCAAGATGCCAAACCCCACCCACCCTGCATCGTCCCTGTAATTTGCACAAAATGGCCCTTTCCCTTGAGAAGCATGCCAGCATATCGTTACGAAAGAAACAAACAACCCATTCCATGCTTCAAGTTCATAAGCAAAGCCACAGTTGTTCTAGTTTGGGCAACTTCCACAAGAATGGACCATTCTGTACAAACACAGGGAGGCCTGCGTTAAACATTGCCTGGGTCCTTGTAAGCATTTCTGTTGAGAGTGTCAAGAAATTATTTTTTCTGTCTTCAAAGAAAAGTTAAGTTCCTTCATCCTTGCATCCTCGGAGCATTCCAAGTCCTCCGCAAAATGCTGGCTGGTGAATCCTGAGAGCCACGGTCCGAACTTTCTCCAAAAGTTTGGGTGGAAATGGGTTAAAACTCTGGCGACATAAACATTTCCGGCCGTCTAAACATCTTTTTATTTATTTATTTTTTTCTCCTTCGGTCTCCAGGATATCTTTGTTCAAAAGGGGGGGGGGGAGAAGCACTCCCTGGAAAGAGCCTGAGAAAGAGGATTCTTCTGGTTTTCTGCAGAAGGTCACTCAGATTTAAAGATCTGGAATATCTCAGTCTGGAAACTGAGAACATAAATAAATCCGGGGGTTGAGGTGGGGGATGGATTCTGAGATCATTCTGTAGTTTTGCCGACACCAGAGGTCAAACACAGCGTTATTCCTGAGAGCCTTTCCTGAACCTTTGACTCTCCCTAGAGGTTTATGGAGCCAGTCTTGAACCAACCAAAGTTCCTGCATTCGATTCAGGCTGGAAACCTATTTTGAACCCTTCCTGTAGCTCTGGTCACACACTTATAGATTTTGTCATTTCCCTCACCTCATTTCCTACTCTTTCTTCTCTCTCTTTCTCCCTTCCTTACTCCATTCTCTAGCATAGTTGATCACCAGCATGAAATGCAACTGAACACCATTGTCTCTTAGAGAGCCTTACATTTACTCTCTCTCTCTGTTTCAACTCACGCGCCTGAAGAAGTGGACAGAGTTCCAGAAAAGCTTGCATTAAAACATAGGAATTCATCTTTAAAGTGTCTTTTCTTTTCTTCTTTTGTGTTCAAGGTGTTTTAAAGCTGCAATTCATTCCTCTTTTAGAGAAACTTTTCTGGCTGCTGCTTAACTAGTTCCTGGTTGATTTATCTCATTAAGTGTGACCCATTCCTTATGTCTCTTGTTTTCCTTTCATATTGTTACATTACTCAGGGTGGGGAGTCTTCTTAAATACAGACAATTAGCAGATTTGAAAGCCCTCTCTGTGGCTGCTCTTAGACTGTGGAACTCCCTCCCACTGGAGGCCAGCTTGGCTCCATCATGGCTGTCCTTCCGCAAGCAAGCAAACACCTTTCTCTTCAGGCAGGCTTTTCCTCAATGATTGGCATTCTGAGAGAGGTTTTTTTTTTAATGGATTGTTGCGCCATAGTGCGTGGAATGTGCTTTTGGTGCTGTTTTGTTTACTAGTTTTTAGTATGGAATTGGTTTGATCCCTTTTCGTATTTGTATCCTTACTGTTCCCAGCTTTAAATATTGTCTTTGAATGCTGTAAGCTGCCTTCGGCCCTTTTCAAGGAGAAAGGAGGTGTAAAAATAAATAAATAGATTTATATTGGGGACATTTAGCTCAAGACCCTTACCCATTACCTGTTTCTTTTCTACAGGTAGGACTCTGTTTTTGCCTGTAATTGCCTTTACACTGCATACAGTTAAACTGTGGAATTCACTGCCACATGAAAAAAAAAGAATGTCTCCCACTTTTAAATGGCTTTCAAAGGGGATTGGATCCACGGATGGAGGCGAAACCATCTGGGGCTATTACTTGGGATAACTGTACACCATGGCCTGTATCAAAAGGTGACCTTGTCGCTGAAAATGTAACTGTTCTCATTCTTTGCTGACAATCTTCCCTAGAGCAACCAGTCGGTCAATTTAGGAGTGGAATTTTGGACAATATCTTTTTGCTCGGATCCACCAAGAGTCTTCCGATTTACTCATGCCATTTCCCCCTACCTGCAGTCTAAAACGCGTGCGTAGGCTTACCACCTCCTGAGGAAGCGGAGCGCTCTTTTACGGGAGATGGGATTAAGTTCCTGGTAACTTCCCAAAAAAATAAACAAACAGAAACTTCTCAAAGGACGCCCGTTAAACTCTCAGGGTTAATCCTGGGTGAAGCTGGAAGAGCAAATCTCCGCTTCGTCATGCAGACAGCGAAAAGGACTGTAAAATGTGTTTATTTCTGATTCTGTGGATCTGTTTTACCTTATAAGGCGAGGTCCTTCCATCTTTCTCTCTTGAAGAGGAAAAAGAAAACCCCGTATGGCTCATTGGTGTCACAGTCCTACTTACCCCGGTTTCATTTCAGGAGGTGTTGGCAGGGGTTTTGTGAATCCTTTCTTTCCTAAAAGCCAGTAGGTTTCTTCTAAGCCTTTCCCCTGTTGGTAACGAGAGCAGAAGTCCAACAGGCATTTAAACAGTCTGCAATGTTCATGCAATTTCCCAGATAACATCCAGCCCCCTACAGAGACAATGGTTGGCCTATTCTGGAAGCTGCAGTCCCCCAAAAATAAATTTCTCCTCTCTGTCCCTCAACTCAGACTCCTCGAGAAACCCGTGCAAGGGGATACCTGATATATCCTCCCATTCTTTGGAAGGCAGCAGGAAAAGAGGAAGGCTTAATTGTGAGATGGAGTGACTCAATAAAAGGAACCACGACTATACATTTTCAAGATCTGAGCCGTTAATGACAGGACCTTTTTTGGGGGGGGGGTGTCACTAATTCATAGGGTTGCCATAGGTCAGTACATTTTCAAGATCTAAGCCGTTAATGACAGGACCTGGGGGGGTCACTAATTCATAGGGTTGTCATAGGTCAGAAGCAAAGGTTAGGAACAGCACGTTAATTTATAAGGTTGACGGCGAAATCGTTCTTTTTACGTTGAAGTGCAGGACAATTGTTAATTTTTGTGTTGTTGTGGGTGCATCTACAGAATGTTATTTCAAAGTCACAGCTGAAGCTTCACCTTTAAAAGCTAAGTGTCTTTCAACATGACATCTAAAATGTTATTTTCTTCAGCTTAGGCGCAGTGCTCTTCTTCCGTGCAAAAGTAACAAGTGTAACGTTAATGTGTTAAATCTAACACATTATTTCCAAGCTCTGGTATGCAGGACACCAACCATTTCATCGGGGACATCATAAAAAACAGTCACACCAGTTCAGTTTGTCCTGCAAGTAAAACCACGTCCCGGACTCCTCGGGTCTATCACTCCGCGCACCGTGGTCTCCCACCGGTGGCAGCTCTCCTGAACCTTGAGAACCAACATCGGGGACTCCACAGGGCACTCCTTGCTCAATTTTTTTTGCATTTGCACCCCAGCTAACATAAGAGTTGAACTCTGTTCCCATTGAGTTCAATGAGACTTGGATTAATTTCAGTAGATATTGATCTCATTTTGTCTAATTTCACTTGTTCTCTTTGAAAGAAACTTGAAAACAGAGGACAATGTCAAATAGAACATTGTACAGATGTGACCACAAAGAAAGCTGACGGCGGAAGAATGGATGCTTTTGAATTGTGGTGCTGGAGGAGACTCTTGAGAGTCCCCTGGACTGCAAGGAGAACAAACCTATCCGTTCTGAAGGAAATCAACCCTGAGTGCTCGCTGGAAGGACAGATCCTGAAGCTGAAGCTCCAATACTTTGGCCCTCTCATGAGAAGAGAAGAATCCTTGGAAAAGACCTTGATGTTGGGAAAGTGTGAAGGCAAGAGGAGAAAGGGACAACAGAGGACGAGGGATCGAAGCAACCAACATGAATTTGACTCGACTCTGGGAGGCAGTGGAAGACAGGAGGGCCTGGCGTGCTCTGGTCGATGGGGTCACGAAGAGTCGGACACGATTTAACGACTAAACAACAACAACAGATGTGACAAACAGCCAATCTAATGGCCTTGTCCCAGGTTAAAAACAGTGTAGGAAGGGAGGAGAGACAAGCATCGGAAGTTGCCTTATTGTGGATCTGGGATTTTGGTTCCATTGAGTTCTGCATGATCCACCTACACAACTGTCTCCACTCCAGGGTTTCAGGGCAAAAACCATCCCCAGTTCTACGTGGAAATCCCAGGAATTGAACTCGGGACCTTTGGCATGGAAGTTCATGCTCTATCATTGAGTTGCAGCCCCTTTCTGCTCTCTTCCCCACTCTGAATTATGCAAGGTTGACTCTGCTAGAAGAACACTAAACATCAGTCAAGATATAATAGTGTCCTCATTTTCTGCTCGGTTGGGTTTCTTACCTTCAGCTCCGTCTTTCCCCTGAATTCTATTTTATAACCTTCCTGGAGACTCCGAAGAGTTTTCATGGTGCTCTGGCTGATGTGGATTCTGTACGCTGAAATGAAAGAAGACATAGACTCAAACTTCGGAGCCCTAAGTTCGCTTTTGCTTGAAATCAGCAACTTGCCTGAGCAGATCACCAAGGTGTGTAGCCAATGATCTAAACCAGCAAGGACCCATAGGGGCCAGATGAAGAACCCAGGTGTGCCTCCCTCTTGTCTCTTCTAGATCTACATGTAGAGTGGTACTCTTGAGTGTTCTTCCTTCTCTCTCTCTCTGAGGTCATTTCCTATTCTTTGTTGCTGTTCCCTGTTAACTCTCTTCTTTTAGTGAGAGAGGCACACTTGCAGATACAGAAATCAGTCTTGGGGTGGTGGTGGTCTGTAAACAAGTTTAGAAGCTATGCTTTCCTCCAGAACGATCCATAAATAGACTCACCAGTTAATCAACATTAGGGTTCTAGAATTGGTTTACTTAACAGTCCAAGCTGAGTGATCCTATCAGAATAGGAAGTATTGTTGAAGTTAGAGGTTCAGGCAGCTTCCCCTCTTCTTATAGTTTGCTGTCACAGAATCATAGAATAATGGAGTGGGAAATTCTAGAATTGGTTTACTTCTCTTAGCAGTCCAAGCTGAGTGATCTTATCAGAAGAGGAAGTATTGTTGAAGTTAGGGATTCAGGCAGCTTCCCCTCTTTTTATAGTTTGCTGTCACAGAATCATAGAACAATGGAGTGGGAAGGGACCTATAAGGTCATCAACTCCAACCCCCCTGTTCAAGGCAGGAATCCAAATCAAAGCAGGTCTGACAGATGATGGCCCAATTTTCTCTTGAGCACCTCCAGCGTTGAAACACTCACCACCTCTCAAGATCATTTGTTCCATTGTCGTACTGCTCTAACAGTTAGAGAGTTTTCCCTGATATTCAACCGAAATCTGGCTAGTTCAGGATCTCAGTTCTCGGATGGGAAACATATAGTAAATTAGGGCCCTGCAGCTGCTTTCTCTTTAAGCACACTCTGTTTTTTTTAGCCATGGAAAATATCTAGTGTAATTTGGCTTTAAAGGAAATGTTATAGCTGATTCTTCACATATGTGGAATCTCTGGTGTGGATAAGAAAAGTGAAAAACTGCTATAACAGTTAAGAAATTTTTCCTGATATTCAGCTGTAATTGGCTATAACTTCAGCCAATTATCACAAGTTCTGCTTTTTGGGTTGCTTGTATAGTATTCTCTAATTTGACTTCATTCCCTCCTATAACTTCCCCTTCTTCTTCCTAGTCATGTGGCTATAAGTAAGTGATGCCATCCTTTCTCTATCTGCCAAAAATATATATTTCAGTTTTATAAAGTTTCCACATCACTGAAGTGTTCCTTCCAAATATCAGCTTCTATACAGTAGGAGCCCTGAATATGCAGAAGATACACTCCAAGATGCAGATTCTGAAAAACGTGGATTATAGTGAACACAATACATAGCATGGTCTCTCGCCGCCTCTAGTGGTCAGTTCTGGTAACTTCACTTTTGGAAAAAGATATTTCTAGGATTTTTCTTTTAATATTTTTTAAAAATTTCAGACCATTAATAAGTGAATCAGCAGATACCTATCCTGCCGATGAAGGAGTCCTACTGTATTTTTAAGGCCCCCTTATGTTTTGCAGATCTGAGGGCATGGAACAGATTTGAAGATTTCTCCCACTCCAGATCATAGCCGAAACAAAACAGAATAGGGCAAACCTCCTCAACAACATTGGCAATATCGGGGGGGGGGGGGTTCCCTTTTTGGACTTCAAGTCCCAAAATCCCCCAGCCAGAGTGGCCAAGTAGAGGATATTGGTGGTTAGACACACACACACACACACACACACTCATTGACGAAACGCTGGTCAATGGTCATGCTGGAGTCTGCATCTGATCTAAAATCCAAGAAACACTCACGCAGCCCAGTGGATTCTATCCGGGAAGCCATGTTCACAGTGTCCCCAAAGAGGCAGTAACGGGGCATTGTGAGGCCGACCACTCCTGCAGCACAAGGACCTGGCAGTGAGGAATTAGGGTGAAGGGGGGGAAAGAGAGAAATAATTTAAAAAAAGAAATAAAAGATTCATTTTGTGCATATGCTTTTCCCTTGAGCAGAAAACGGTCAAAATTAAGTGCATTGACACATTCTAGCTGCTAAATACAGGAGGACCCCCGTATCTGTAGAGGATCAGGTCCAAGGGACCCCCGTCCCCTATGGATGCAGAAAAACATGAATAAGAGCTGATAGTGCTATTTTAAAAGTGAATGTGATACATAGCATGGTTTCTTGCTCCCTCTAGTGGCCAATTCTGGTAGTTTCACTTTTAGAAATATATATTTCGAGGATCTTTCTTTTGTTGTTTAGTCATCAAGTCGTGTCCGACTCTTTGTGACACCATTTTTCTTTATATATTTTTCAATATTTTCAGGCCATGGATAAGTGATACAATGGATACTGATCCCGTGGATAAGGGCACCCCACTACTGTATACAACATGAATTCTCATCACCCACTCTATATTTTGAGTTCCTAACTGCCATTCCATGACACCTTTAAAGAAGGGCTGAAATCTTATAGTTTTGTTATGCATGCAGAAGGCAACCCGTATAACTTTCATTGCCGTCTCGCTGGCCATTAACAAGTCCCCATCCATGAGAATCCCAGCGGTGACTCGTTAATTGCCAGCTAGAAGTGACTGGCGTGCTCTGGTCCATGGGGTCACGAAGAGTCGGACACGACTAAACGACTAAACGATGACGATGAGAAGTGACTGGATTTCAGCCCCTGTCCAAGATCAGACAAGAGAACTGTACCAGCTGCCGTCAGCTGCTTAAATGTGATGGCATTTCAGTCTGCTGTTAAAAACTGCCAACTGGAAAATAAAGCGAAGTTTTCCACTTCCAAAGATCAGCAGCTAAATTAGATTTCACCAGACGTCAAACACAGAAATCAATTAGGCGGAGAACCTAGGATTCTCTAGCCAAGGTGCCTGGCCCAGCTGATCCCAGCCAGTCGAAGTGAAAGCTCCTAATAGTTTTTGGCAAAGCCAGGACCACCCAGACTCCCCTGTTTGGGGCTGGGAGAAATCTGATCCACTAATCATGCTGACAAAGTCTGTTTATTTGACTCTTATGTCACAGCCAAGCAAAGGCTCCCTCTTTTCCAGAAGTCCTGGAGAAAATCAGATCCATACATTATTTCCACAGTTTCATGCCAAGAGATGTACAATATAACCTTCCCCCCCAAAAATAAGACCTAACCTGAAAATAAGCCCTAGTATGATTTTTCAGGATGCTTATAATATAAGCCCTACCCCCCCCAAATAAGCCCTAGATAAGTGAAACCCCGCCCTCCACCCTTGTGCAGCAACCAGAAGAAGATGACATGACTGTATTTGAATAAATGTAGATCGTTGTACATAAAAATAAAATAAAACATCCCCTGAAAATAAGCCATAGTGAGTTTTTTGGAGCAAAAATTAATATAAGACCCTGTCTTATTTT